AGGGGGAAAATGAGGACCTAATGCCGGGGGTTTAAGTGGAGAGAAAATGTTTTGAGAATGATGTACAAATGCGCTTTACATAACTGATGTGTGTATGGATTGCGATAACAGTTGTATGAGCCCCTAATAAAATGTTTAAAAAAAAAACAAAAACGAGATTGTTTCCTATATGGAAATCATCGAGATGTGATTCAAACAGAGAAGGTGACTTCATAACCCTCAGAAATTTAACCACTAGAACAGAATGTCCCAAAGTGCACAATACCAGCCCCTGGGGAGCACTGGGACAATCTGGGATGGGGCTGCAAAAGTAGTTACCTACACTGCACCCCAGACTACGGGCTACAGTACAAAAGCTTAAATTTCCAGAGGGGTGCTGAGTAAATGTTTTACTGAAAAGGAGGCAATAAGCCAAATAAGTTTGAGAACCTGTAAACTAGACTACCAATTCTCGTCTCTGCAGCAGTTCCACCATCTAACTACCAATACTTAGCACATAAGAAACATGTTACACGAATGTAACAAATTTAACCTCAGCTTTCGAAGACAAGCAGAATAAATGTTATATCAAGTTTTCGGTAAAAATTAGAGTCCTTACTAACAACAGTCTGCTCTCTCTTAGATGAGACCAAAGTAATTCTGTAAGCAACGTTTTCCAAGTCCAAGTCCATTTCAGAAGAACGGATCAATGAGAAACTGTGAATGGTTCTGTAAACCTCTTTCACATCCACAGCACTAACAGCATTCGGGCAGACTTCCCACTCTTCTTTCCATCTCATCTTGGTCCAGAAGGACCACTGTCTTGGCATACTAACAAGAATATACCTGTTTCGAGCCAGAGGAATAAAATGACATCTTTTTGCACTTTAAATCAAGTCTAGTTTTTATTCATGAGTTCAGTCTTTCAATGATAAAATGGTCACCTTTCAAAACTCAGGTGAGCCATAGGACCCCCACGCCCCACGTGAAGATCTCTAAAATCTGAAGAATATCCTTCAGACCATTAGACAGGTGACAGAAGAGTCCTGACGTTTTGGTTTGAGGATTAACTTCAAAACAGAGACCAAAGGTCATCAGTCCTATTCTACAGAAATCAGTGAAGACCCTCGTCCACTCGTCCTTTAGGAAGGGCCACTCATCCAGGCACTTTCCTCATGACCACTTGCTGCAAGATACAACACACTTTGAAACTTCAAGGTTGCAAATGCTTGTAAACTTCTCAGCACAATATCTTCTCTTTATCACTTGGCATTTTCTCAGAGTTAACAGATAATGACTTCTCTTTTTCCTAATCTCCAGCAAAAATCAAAGAAAACTCCACTTGCTCTAAAATAAAATGCCCAAAAGTCACAACCTGTAATTCTGTCTTCCTGAAAAGCTAAGGCAGGCTGATTGCTCACAAAGGACTTTGTTTCATGGCCCAATTTTAATCCACCAAGGCAGCCAAACCATCTCTAAGAGTGTCTTTTAAATCACAGCTTACCTTGTAGTTGCTAGAGTTCACCCAAGAGGAAGCCAGTCCATCCACAAGTTTATCTAACATAGTCTGGTCATGCTCAAGGTCAGCCGACTTCTGTTTGTCTGAGAAATAATCTATAAGTTCTTGGCCAACCTGCAGTCGCTTTCCAACATCCTTCTGCAACACCTGTGCCAAGTAAGACTCCATGCGAGGCTCCATGGTGGAATTCAAATCCAGATCCAACAAAAGCTAGAGGGCAATCAAGAAGACTTCCTCCTTGTAAACTGATCCTGGAGGTTGTCCCTTTGTTTGCCGAAAGCTACTAAGCGCCTGTGTTTCAAAGATGCAATCTGGGGAATGGCAGCAATGCACCATGTGTGTCTGAAGAGCAGCTGGTAGGATATTAAAAGTCCAATTCAAATAACTAGAAGGAGATAAAGCAGCGAGTGCCAGAAGGATGCTATCACACTGGGTCTGAAAGACTTCATAACTCAGCAGTCCACTCTGAAACAGAAGAGAGAACATGAAGTCAGCACAGAGTAAACCCTCAGATGTTACGAAACATTAAATCAAAGGCAAAGCAATTCAGATGCAAAACTACTAATAATCAGAGTTGAGGAGAATGAATGCTTGTAGCTATAAATTATTAATATGATAATTATTTTTTAAATGAAGAAAATTGAAACACCCAAAGAAAAATGCCAACGAACTATTCAACTGATGGGTTTTTCACAATTCTCCAGTTTATAAATATACTAGAGTCAGGAAATCAATCATCTGTTTTAAGCAAATTTATTTGTAGTTCAAATTCTGCTTCACACCAAAAACCTAACAAACCTATCTGAATTAGTGAAGGACTTAAGCCTAAAGCCTTTCTCCTCACACTGAGTCTTCTATAAACCTAAATACTGGAAGTAGAAAGGCCATCAACCAAAGTGGCCAGCTTGTGATTATTGACCACATTAACCCACATCAGATTTCTTGCTAGAGAACTTTATAGTGGCTTGAGTTATAGGCAGTCCTCGTGCCCAAACAATGGTTAGTCCACTTTAGGATCAATTAGTGAGAAGGGATTCTGAGTGGGCAAGTGATCATTTGAACCTGGTTTTGTTATAAAATCAAAAGGTCTCAAAGTCATGCTTTGGTTAGAACAAAACACATAATATGGAAAGGAGCTTCAAGATGGCGCCCAGGGAAGCAGCCCACACAGGGAGGGGCGACGAGTCTGGTGTCAGGAAGGTCAAGTGGAAGTATGCAGGTGAGTGGAAAAATCCAAGAAGACCCGAGGGGCCCTCCCTGTCTGGGAGGTGGCCCAACCCCGTATCTGCTTTGTTATGGAGATCTGAGTCCATATACCAGGGATTTCCAACAGGCTGTGTGACCTGTGTACCTCAGTCGCCACCCGCCAGTGGCCCCCTCTATCCCCTGGCCTGGTCGCCACCCCAGGAGCTGGAAGGCTACCATGTAGAACTCCCCAAGCAACTGTCCACTCGGGGCTCCCACATGGAGGAACTGCGCCCTTCTCCCATGGATCCCCTCCCTCCACAAGGCTAGGTATCGATTCCGCCTGCAAGTTCTGGTCCTCCCCAGCAGCCAACCAGGGCCCAGGGCCTAACCCACAGCAAATTTGATCACCTGCTTCTGGGGGCACCCAGCACCAGTACCTGGGTCACTTCCACCCACCAGACAGTTGCATCTGCCATGTCAACGGGGCACAGCCCCCGCCACTTCCAGGGCACCTCAGCTAATCGCTGCCCCAACCTCTCCCTGTCCGCAAGAACTGGTACCCGCACTTCCAGACCACCATTTCCTCAGCACTGCGACTTCCGGCAGCCCCTGCCCCTCCCAGCACCGTACACTATGCCAAATGCTACCTCAGCCTGAGCCGCAGACTGAGGCCTTGCAGGCCCGCCACACCCACGCGCCACCTCTGCTGGAGCCACAGGGAGCCGGAGTCATGAAACAGGTCCTTGCAGGCCCGGCCAACGAGCACCCAGCATCTTGGGGCTCGGATAGGCACTGCCTGAGTCTATCCCAGCTCAGGGATCATCACTGCCTTGTCCCTTCCCGGCCCACACAGCTAGTGGAACAGTGAAGGGCGTATCCCTGGTCCAGAGGACATCCTTCCCCAAAATCTAGCCTAGCTCTGGAACTCAGGGGATCAGCGACCAGGTTCTGGAAGCTTCCCAGCTCACGCAGGCCACACCACTTTAGATCCCAACGGGACCACCACCTGCACATTGGCCCCCTATAGCCATATCACTTTACCCCACAGCGGTCCCCATCAGTGCTCACAACCTCTCATCTCTGTTGACCGCTGAGTCACCGTGGCACCTGCCTGCACAGCAGCCTGACCCAGCTCCAGAGTGGCCCACAGGCAGCTCTTGAAAACACAGCTCTTGAAAATCCTCTTGAAAACACTGTGATTGCCAGCCAATCACACAGAGAAAGAACGCAGGGCCTCTTGTTCTCCCAGAAACTTGGCGCCCAGCTCATCAAAATCATCACGTAAACAACAGCATACCACACTTCCAACCAAAAAACAAGAAAGACAAACCACAACTGCAGAGCTAACAACATTCATAGAGGAATCTGATGTAGATCTTCCACAAAAAGACATATTCAGAAGGCTGCTTAGAGTAATACAGGAGATGAGGGAAGCTACACAGACTAAGGATGCAATGACAGAGGGGATGAAGTCCACCCACCAAAGGGAAATACAGGAGCTGGCAGATACAGTAGCAGAAGCTGCACACAAGATCACAGACCTCATGAACAGACTAGAGGGGGCTGAGAACTGTATCAATGATCTCAAAGACAATCAGGCAGACCTCAGCAAACGAGAAAGACAATCAAACAAGATAATAAAAGAGCCAAAAGAAAACCTGAGATCAATGACGGATGCTACGAAGAGGAACGACATCGGAATGATTGGCCTACCGGAGCAAGACACAGCAAAGAAGTCGACACTAAACTAACAAGGGAATTTCTGGAAGGAAACGTCCCGCCTTAATGAATGAGAATCAGAGAAGCAGAGAGGACACCAATTAGACTAAACCCCCAGAAGACCTCACCAAGGCATCTAATAGATAAACAATCCAACTTCGAGGAAAAGGAAACTGCGAAGAGCAGCAAGAGAAAAGAAGGCAGGCACATGCAATGCTCAGGTAAGAACAGGCTCAGACCTTCCAACAGAAACCAGGAAAGGGAGGAGTGCAGTAGCATCTTCCAAAAGCTCAAAGAAGAAACCTCTCCCCAAGAATCTTTTGCCCTGCCAAATTATCTATTAAGATAGAAGGAGAGATAAGGGTCTTCCAGGACAAGGAAAAACTTAAAGAATACACTGCAAGACACCCAATCCTGCGGAAGACCCTTGCCAACTCACTATGACCAGAAGACCAACATCCACCAAGCACAAACAGAAGAACATCATATAGCCCAACTCCAAACAGAAGTCAACAAACCAATAACAATCACCAAGATTTAACATGGCTTCAGAGAGAAAAGATGGCAATAAAGAAGTCCCGACAAAGACACAGCACAGTGATAAGAAGGGTGATAGGAAAATACGCAAAACAAAAGGCACAAGATGACAGCAATGAATCCACAGATTGTGATAATAACTCTAAATGTCAACGGCCTTAACTCCTACACTAAAATAAAAAGGTTTTCCAATTGGCTTGGAAAACATAACCCATCAATCTGTTGCCTGCAGGAAGCGCAGACAAGAATAAACCAAGAACAAAAGGCTGGTAGAAGATATACCAGGCAAAGGGCAACTAAAAACAGCACCACGAGTCGCAATCTTAATCTCAGACAAAACTGATCTCAAGGTTCACACCATAAAAAGAGATAAGGACGGACACTATATAATGCTCAAAGGATCACTTGACCAGGATCAGTAAACTCTGGCACATACCTACAATGGCATACTATGCATCACTAAAAAGCACTGATGAGCACATGAGACACATCTTTTCATGGAAGAGTTGGAGGAAATTATGCTAAGCAAAGTCAGCCAATCACAAAAGGAAAAGTACAGCATGAGTCCCCTGAGGTAAGTGTAATCAGCACGGTAGGTATAGAAGAGAAGCCACCTATATCACAACATTTGGGATGAGAAACAGGGAGCCTGGAGGAGTTTAGACCAAGCCCAAGGAGGTATATGTTGGTCCAACACAAAAAGGGAGAAAGGAGGGAGGGAGAGGGTGAAAGGGGGGGTACGAAAATGAAATGATGACGGAGGGAGCAGGGCACTAACCCACCCAGAAGTAGAGTACTGGTCTTGTCTCCACAGAATTGGGAGTGGGCAGGCAGACACTACCATGGTGCACCAAACCATGAGGACACGTGACCACATGGAAGAATGCATGAAAAGAGACAGCAACAGGGCTGGCCCCAACCAAAGCCAAACTGATCCCCTCTCTAGAAATAGGTATGACAGAGAACCATACTAAACCTACAGGTTGGGGAGAGGGGCCAGCATGCAACACTCACACAGAAGCAGATGAAGAAGGAAGAAGAGAAAGAGAGGGCCGAATGGACCCCACACTGGCACACCAGGCCCAGAGGATGACGTCCCTGCGGGCAGCTAATGGAACACAGAGGGACTGGACAGCCAACAACAGATTGCGTCACGTTGTCCCCTTATTGGAGCAGACTGCGCAGAGGGCATTTCTGGGGACACGTGGTGGGGAGGCAGTGCAGTCTGAAACCCCCACAGTGGGGCAAACCAAGAAGGGAACATACCAGATCAGCAGTTGGAGCTAAGCAAAGCTATGAAGCCCCTGAGGAGCCCCTCAAAAGGGACTCCAGGCCAGAGGGGCAGCTCCTGGACAGACATGAAGGCCAGCGAACAAACCCAGGATTTTTGTACATTTCTTCTCTTTTTTTGTTTTCCTCCCTTTTCTTTTCCTTCTTTTTTCTCCTCCTTTTCTCTTTTCAATCTTTTTTTTATCAGCTTGGGCTATGTCACAGTCCGTGTGCCTACCTGTGTAAGACAGGTATGGGAAACATGCCCAAAGAGAAAGCAGCAGGACCAACAGTCCTGGGGAGACCTGGGGAGTGACCAGTCCCGGAGAGACCTGGGGGAAGGGGGCGGTGAGCAGGCAATGCCATAGACAGGGGAACAACTAGGGTATTAGAGTCAATAACAAGGAGGAGATAGGGAGGGGGGCGGGGGGGTCAGAGCAACAGCAAACTAGCTAAGAGGAGGTACCAAGAGGCGGAAATAAGTGGAAGGTGATGGTGGGGCAGGAGGAAAATAAAAGGAAACAGAGGAAGGACCTAGGAAGCAAAGCAATGGACAGAGGTATAAACATCGTGGTGTACATATGTGAACACATTAATCCACAAAAATAGAGGTACTATGTACATATGGCCTATGTACATATATTTATACGGCAATACACTGAGGTGGGGATGAATTTCGGGCCTCTGCTCATACCCTCCCTCAATACAAGAACACTTTGTTCTAACAAATCAACAGTCTGAGATGTTCAGCC